GGCTCCCCGTGGGGCTGGCACATGTGCAGGGCTGGGGTGGATCCAGCTCTCCCAGCGGGGCTGGTGCCTGTGCCAGGACAGAGCCGGCTCCCGGGGGGGCTGGCACGTGTGGCTTCAGGATAGACCTGTCCCAACTTGCAGCCTTGGTCACCCAACAATTCCTGAGCCCGTAAAGGAGAGATTTATGACTTCTCTGACCTTGTGAAATGATGAGTCAGATGGTGAAGGTTTTTTGCTGCATTCCCAGGCTTTAAAGAACCCTGGGTTCCCAGAGCCTGGAAGCTCTCCTGCTATGGCCGTGTCCCAGCATGATAATGATCCCCAGGCTGCAGCGAGGGGGAGCAGCTGGTGCTGAGTGTGCTGAGGGTCACTTCTCCACATCCTTCTCCCTGGGAAGGGTGTGATATCCCCTGCTTCCCGAGGGCAGCACACCAGCCCTGGAGGCTGCAGCCTTGCCAAGCCCCAGCGGGATCAGGCGGGAGGTTTCGGATGCCTAAACCCTTCCTGGGATTCTTGTTGCAAACTCACGAGGGGGATCTCCCCCTCCCTGGTGTCCTGCCATGGCTGCACTGGGCTCTGCTGCCATCCCAGCCAGAGCTGGGGAGGGCTGTCACAGCATGGCTGATCTTTGGACTTTGTTCCTTCCTTTCCTTAATTTTCCGAGAGCAGGGAGGGGACAGTCCTCCTTCCCCAAGGACATGGAAGGCTGAACTGTCTCCACCTCTCCAGCCAGGCTGGGCCTGCTGCCAGTGTGGGGCCAGGGGGTGTTATCAGGGCTGGGCTGGCCCTGGGAGCCAGTCCCTGTCACCCCCCAGGCCACCCTGATTATGGGGGGCCCTCAGTGCCGTGTGCTGCAGCGATAGCACGGCGGGCGTGGGACACCTGTGGGACACTCTGCAGGGCTGGGGATGCTGGGGGGGCTCCCAGGGGGCCTCATCCCTGGACAGGGACCCCCAGGCTGGAGCATCCCCTGCCCTGTGTTGCAGGGGGACAGTGCCATGGCTGAGAAGCTGCCACCGAGCCCCGGCGGGGGCATCACGCCACTGCAGCAGATGCTGGCCTCGGGGACAGGGGCCATCCTCACCTCCCTCTTTGGTGAGCGTGGTGGGGTGGGTGCCAGGGGGGTGGGGGGCTGGCACGGGGCTGGCATGGCTAAGGGATGGTGTCTTTGCAGTGACGCCGCTGGACGTGGTGAAGATCCGGCTGCAGGCCCAGAGGACCCCCTTCTCCAAAGGTAACCCTGCTTGGGGCAGGCTGGTGAGCAGCCCACAGGGGTGTCTCACACAGCTGGCACAGCTGGTGGCAGGGTGTCTCTGCTCTGGAGCGTGGGGCCATGGTGAGGTGCCAGGTTAGCATGGGCCCCTTGTCCTGACGGGCCCGGGGGCCCTGCTGGGGGAGCTGGGCTGGCGCTTGGCTCTGTCCTTCCCCCTCCACAGCCCTGTGCCTGGCAGCCCCCAGCCCTCCAGAAGCTCAGCCTGCTGCAGCTGCTGGCCTTTGTTCCAGTCTCCATGCTGCTCCCCTTGGGCTCTGCCCCTTCCTGTGGGGTCACTGGGCTGGGGCTGGCCCCAAGGGACTGGTTTGGTGACAATAGGAACTGCTTGGGAAGTGGCTGTGGGGGCATGCAGTCACCCACAGAGCTGTCCTGCTGCCCAGCCCCGGGTGGTGGCGTGTCCCCTGTGGTTGCTCAGTGTGTCCCCATTGTGTGTTTCAGTGTTGGCAGCGCAGTCAGTGCCCTGGGGCGCTCAGCCGGCCACATGTGAGTACGCCGGGGGCTCCTGCTGCCAGTGGCTTTGCTTTCCCAAGCCTTCATCCTGGTTTGCTTCTCCACTGGTGGTGGCTTGGGCTCCTCTGGCTGTGGGGACATCCCTGCACTATGGGGGCTGACACTGTCCCCAGCCCAGGCTGCCCTGCAGCCCTGCTTTGGGGCTGGCTGTGCCACATCTATGGGGATCTGTTGTGCAGCTGGCCTGGCTGTCTGTGGTCTTGTCACTCTGTCCTGCTGCCACATCAAAGTCCCCTTGGATTTCTATTGCCTGGTGTCCCTTGTGCCTGGCTTGGGAGCACAGTGAGGGACCAGTGCTGATGTCCCCACTGTGCCAGGGCAGCAGAGCCAAGACCAAGTGAGGCATGAACCCTCTCCCACTGCTGGCAGTGGGTCCTGCTGTATGCCCACCCCTGCCATGGAGCTGGGTGTCCCCATCCCTGGCTCTGGCCATGATCAGACCCTTGCTGCAGGGTTGTTCCTCTCCTGGTCTTGGACTGGTCCACACTGGGCTCAAGCACTGAGGGTTTGGCTCCTTCCTGGAAGATGTGGCAGCTTTGAGATCAGATGTGCAGGGCATGGGGCAGAGGGGAAGGGTCTCCTGTGTGATGGCAGTGCTGTTGTTTCCTCCTCAGGGAAGTGTTTCCTCTACTGCAACGGGCTCATGGACCACCTGTACGTCTGCCAGAACGGCAACGGCTGCACCGCCTGGTACAAGGCCCCCGGGCACTTCACTGGCACCCTGGTAGGAGCTCCAGGCATGGCCAGGGGTGTCAGGGTGTTTTCTGGGGGTTGTTTGTCCTTCTCCCACCTGTAACTGCTGTCCCTGGTGCTCTGCTCTCTCCCCAGGATGCCTTTGTGAAGATCACACGCAATGAGGGCATCAGATCTCTGTGGAGCGGCTTGCCCCCCACCCTGTGAGTTTGGGGATTCTGGCTGCTACCACCTGCCCAGGCACACAGGTCCCAAGCCCCCTGCCAGCCCCTAGGGAGGACATGTGTCCCTCACTGCCCTTCTCCTCCTCGCAGGGTCATGGCCGTGCCAGCCACCGTGATTTACTTCACCACCTATGACCAGCTCCGGGACTACCTGCACGCCCGGATGGGGAGCTGGAACCACTACATCCCCCTGCTGGCTGGGGCCCTCGCCAGGCGTGAGTGCCCCTCCTCTCTGGGGTCCCCCCGTGCCCCCTCAGTGCCCACATTCAGTGCCTGGCTCTCCTGGCACGGTGCTGGTGGCTCTGGGACGGCCGCTGGAGCGGACGGAGCTCATTCCCTGTGTCCCTCGTGTTGCAGTGGGTGCCGTGACAGTCATCAGCCCCCTGGAGCTGATCCGCACCAAGATGCAGTCCCAGCAGCTCAGCTACCGTGAGCTGCGTGTGTGCATCCAGTCAGCAGTGGCCCAGGACGGCTGGCTGTCCCTCTGGAGGGGCTGGGGACCCACCGTGCTGCGGGACGTCCCCTTCTCGGGTATGCCTGGGGCCACTGGGCTGTGGGGGGCCCAGGGCAGCCCTGTGCTGCTGGGGGGGTGCCCAGTGGTAGCCCTGGTGTCTCCTCTCCCCCAGCTCTGTACTGGTTTAACTACGAGCTGGTGAGGACGTGGCTCTGCAGGCAGGCCTGGCTGGACGGGGCCACGTTCATGGTCAGCTTCACATCTGGGGCCATCTCTGGCACGGTGAGTTTGGGACTCTGGGGCTCCCCTGGGGGGGGTTGGCGCCTGTGGGAGGGAGGAGTGGGGCTGGGATGGTGCTGGGAGGTGACAACAGAGCTGGCACTGGGCAGGAACCCCTGTCCTGGCTCACCATCCAGTGCCAACCCCACAGGTGGCTGCAGTGCTGACGCTGCCCTTCGACGTGGTCAAAACGCAGCGGCAGATTGAGCTGGGAGACAGTGAGGTGCACCCAGGTGAGGGGCCAGGCTCCAGGGGGGCAGCCAGCACTGCCCATGGGTGCCCCCCAAGCCTCACCTGCTCCCCTCTCCCCGCAGTCACAGCCTCCAAGCCTTCCTCCACCTGGCTGCTCATGCAGAGGATCCGCGCCGAGTCTGGCACCCGGGGGCTGTTTGCAGGTGAGGATGTGCCCTGGATGTGCCTGGATGTGCCCTGGATGTGCCCTGGATGTGCCCTGGATGTGCTGAGGTTCCAGGTGCTCTGGTGTCACCCCAGGGCTCACAGCACTGTCCTTGCAGGGTTCCTACCCCGCGTCATCAAGGTGGCACCTGCCTGCGCCATCATGATCAGCACCTATGAATTTGGCAAGAGCTTCTTCCAGAAGCTGAACCAGGAGCAGCAGCTGCGGGGATTGTGAGCAGGCCTGGGGCAGGGCTGGCTGTGGCCGTGCCCAGGGGACAGTGCCAGGTGTCCCAGGAGCAGCGATCCGCACTCGGCCGTGCAGAGCCCAAGTGCCTTCGTTCCTGCTCTGCCTCCCGCTGCCCGCACACGGAGCCAGGGCCAGCCTGCCCCACTCCCTGTCCCAGCCACTCTGGGGGACATCTGTGCCTGCTGCTGTGACACTGGGGGGATATGGAGCCCCCCACACCCATCCCTTGGGGCTGGACAGATGCTGCTGCTGGATTCATGGACACTCTCGCAAGGATGGGGTGTCCCAGGAGACTTGGCCTGACAGGAGATGGAGCTGGGGCTCTGGCAAGGACCAAACCCCAGAGCTCGGGGGCTTCTCTGCCTGCCTGGGCCCCTCTGCCTGGGGATCTGCCCCTCCTGACCCATCACTCACACACAGCCTCACCTTGCTGGCTCTGCATGGCATGGGGACACATCAGGACCCTCTCCCTGCCTCTGGACCTCTGCTCCCACTCGGGATGTCCCCATCCCCTGTCAGACCCTGTGTGGGGACAGACCTCACTGCTGCTCTGGGGGGCCATTGGGGCCCCCCTGCCCCATCCTTCCACTGCAAGGGCCTGCCCCCCTTACCGCGGGACTCATGGAGGGAACTTCTCATTTCTTAAATAAAATAATTGTCTCTTAAGTGGAAGGATTTCTCTCTGTGTGCTGGGGAGCTGTAGAGACACCTGTGGGGTGACAGCCACAGCCCTGTTGTGTGGGCATGGTCCTGTCACCCACAGGGTCCCTGCTGGGTGTTTACTGGGGGCTAGGGGACCCCAGGACCAGAGGGGCTGCAGGAGCTCACTGGGTGCCCCAACATCCTTGCCTGGGCCAGGACCTTGTGGCAGGGGGGCACAAGGGGTCTGTTCCCCTCTGGGGAGGTGGGTGACAGGCCAGCTCTGCTTGCTGCGTTTATTGATTCCTTTTGCTCCAACAAGGCAGATGGGGCTGAAATAAAAACCAAAATCACCCAAAACAACCCAAAACCCAGGGGAGGACAGGGAGGAAGGGGGAAGAAGGATCCTCCCCTGTTGTGGGGATGCTGCTGCAAGGGGGGCAGGCAGCCCCGCACAGTGCAGGGGAGCTGGGGGAGGCCAGGCAGGCGCAGCCCGGGTGGGCACCAGGGGCTGAGCAGGACGGACAGCGGGGCCACGCTGGACCCTCACCCTGGAAGGGGCCTGGGCCCGACCCCCCTCTCTCCCCAGCAGCTGCCACTGCCAGTGTCCCCCCACCGTGGCACAGTTCGTTCCCCCCAGTCCTGCACCCCCATCCCAGCAGGTCCGTGTCTCCAGCCGGGGTCCAGGGTGGGGTCTCAAGGTGGGGAGGGGGCTGCCCGTCCCCAGCCTCCCCGGTGGGATCAGCGAGTCCCTCGTCGTGCCCGGGGTGCGAGGGGGGCCGAGCTCGGTCAGTCCTGCGCCGTCAGGCGGGGCCGGGGGGCGGCGCGGGGGCCGGGGGTCTCAGCTGGGGCTGCGGGTCGGGCTGGCTTCCGTGCTGTCGCTCACCAGGCACTCGTTGGACTTGAGGCTGGCCAGGGACTTGCAGCTGGGCAGGGAGGCCAGGGAGCCGCAGAGCCCCAGCATGGAGGGCGTGGGGTCCTTCCCTGCGGGCAGAATGGGCTGTCACAGGGTGTCACAGGGGGCTCGGCCTCGTGTCCCTGCCCTGCCACCCCGGGGGGACAGGGACCACCTCTCCGGGGCCACCTGGGTGTCCCTGCACTGCTGGGGCAGCATCCCAACCATGCGGAGGGGGCTGCTGGAGGGTCCTGACACGGGGTGCATGGGGGGGGATGTGCTGAGTCCCCGGGGTGCCCTATGGTGGGTGGGGGGGTCTTACCCAAGGGCCCCCAGGGCTCCCCTTCACGCTTGCCCTCGCCCAGGCGCTGGGAGTCGGAGCTGAGGCTGTTCTCGGCCGAGAGCTGGTCGGTGCTCACGAAGCTGTGCCTGCAGGGGGACAGCTCTGAGCGCCCTGGGGCTGGCACAGCTCTTCTGCCCCTCCCTCACCCTGTGTCCCCCCACCCCGGGGCAGGGCAGGGTGCTTGGCAGGTCTCTGCCCTCACTGCGAGCTTACCTTCTGTAGAGTTTGCTGTCCGAGCCGCTCTCGTTGCCATTGAGGGTCCCCAGGGAGGGCCACTGGTTGACCAGGGGTGTCACCATCTCCTTGGAGAGCTGGGCCAGCTGTGGGTTCTCACAGGGGATCAGCCCCGTCCTGCAGCAAAGGCGGGTGCTCAGCACCTGGCACAGCCACCAGTGCCAGGGGCCTGCCAGGTGACACAGCCCACAGGACACGTGGGGCACTGGGGACACCCAGGGCCTGTGGGGCAGCCCACAGGGACCCCCAGCCCCCCGAGCCCCCCGGCAGTGGGTCCCCACTCACAGCTGCTCCTGCAGCTCCAGGATGACGCCCTCCAGCTCCCTCTTCTCCAGCTGGTTCTGCACCATCACCTCCTCCAGCCGGAGTTTCAGCCGCTTGTTCTCCGCCTCCAGGTCCTTCAGCTGTGACTCCCGCAGCCTCACCAGCTCCTCCAGGTACCCCTGTGGGAGGCCACCGTCAGTGGTGCCCCGTTGCCACCACCCCCAGTGTCCCCAGGGCCCTCCAGAGTGACAGGGAGTGGCTGGGTCACCGCAGCAGCAGGAGGAAGGGCTGAAGGTACCACTGAGGCAGAGATGCTCCAGGCTGGAGCATCCTGGAGAGGCTGATACCCTGCTGGCCCCAGCCTGGTACCTTTTGGGCATAAACAATGCGGAATTTCTGCTCCATCTTGCGCCACTTGTTGTACCAGCTGTCCTCGTCGGTGACCAGGGGCAGGTAGGGGTGCTCAGGTGAGCTGTCCTCGCTCGTGCTGCTCTCCACACTGCCCCGCTCCTCCTCCTCGCTCAGGTAGTCATAGCTGGGGGGTGTGGGGGCTCAGCAGGGCGGTCGGGGGTTCAGGGAGCCCCATCGTGGTGCTGGGGCAGAGACAGGGGGGTCCCCACCCCAGGAAGGGCAGCCCAGCTCCTACCTCTGCGTGAACTTCAGGTAGGGCGTGTAGTCGATGACCACGGGCGTTTTACCGTCCATCACCTCTCCCTTCAGGCAGAAGCTGAGCAGAGGCAGCAGGAGAAGGTCAGGGAACCCCGAGGTTGTCACCTGGGGCCTGTGTCCCGCTGTGCCACCTGTGCCTACCTGAAGTCGATGGCGCTGAGCCCGATGAGCATCCCCGTGAGCACCGTGGACTCCTCCCGCAGCATGATGGCCCCGTCATCGTAGAACCGCCTGTGGGGACCACACGGCTGGATGTGCCCCCTAAAACCCACCCCGGCACCCCAAAACCCACCCCAGCACACCCACACACCCCGGTGCGGGTGTGGCCGTGGCCGGCAGGGCCGGGGCTGCTCACCTGGTGGTGCGAGTGTCCCTCAGGGCCGTGGAGATGTACTCGGACATTCGCTTCTCCATCAGCGCCACGCGGATCCAGGCCCGGCCCTGAGAGGCAGCACCCGGGCAGTGCTGAGGGTGGGGGCTGCCTCGGGGGGCCCCACATTCCCACCCAGCCCCAGGAGTGACTTTCAGCTCATTTTTTGGTACCATGGGGACCCACAGCTGCTGTTGTGTCCCAAGGGCCCTGTGGTGTGGGAGGGAGCTGCAGGAGGGCAGGGGAAGGGAGCAAAGTGGGGGCACAGAGGAGTGGGGATGGGAATGGGGATGGAGATGGGTCCATGTACCAGGGTCAGGGTGGAGTGTATGGAAACGGGGGCAGGCCTAGAAATGGGGACAGGGACAGGGACAGGACTGGTGCCTTCCTGACCTTGGCCCTGGAGGTGCTGATGTTCTCCATGTTCTCGATGCTGCTGACGCAGTTGTTGGGGACCTTGCTGCAGGCCAGGCGGATGTAATCCCAAAACCCGCGCTGTCCATCAGAGCTGAACCAGCTGACAGGGCCTGCGGGCACCCACGGGCAGCTCAGGGGCTGCTGTGCCAGCAGAGCCCCTCCAGCAGAGCTGGACACCCTTCCTGGTGCGTCCCCATCCACCACAGGACACCGGGATGGGCACAGGGACAGCCCTGGGGGCCACCACTACCTTTGAAGCGGTGGCTGAGGATCTGCTCGAGGATGGCAGCGAAGTTAACGAACTCCTCGGAGGAGTCATCGATGGGATCTGCCGTGTACTTCTCCAGAAGGGTCTTCACCGAGAACCTGGCGTGGGAGGGGACGGGTGTCACAGCAGGGAGGGGACACCTCCAGCCCTGGCACGGTCAGGGTTTCCAGCAAAGCTCTTTTCCAGCTGTTGGCTCCCGCTCCCGGCAGCGGGAAGAGGGCGTCGGGCTGGGCTGTGGCTCGGTGACCCCCCTGTCCCCGCGTCCCCAGGGACCCCGCTGCTCCCCGCCGTGCAAGTGGCCAGGAAGGGCGAACAAAGGCCCCCTTCCTCCCGGCCGTGCGCGGGCGGTGATGGCTTCCCCTTCCGCCCGGCCGCTCGTGCTCGGGGCTCAGCGGGGCCGAGGACGTGGCACAGACCAGGCCAGGGCAGCACGGGGCAGGTGCTTGCCTGGGGGCATCGCCCCTTCTGTGGGCGCTGTGGGTCACGGCTGCCGGGGCATCCCCGTGGCAGCAGGTGGAGGGGGTCCCATGCTGGCACTGAGGGCTGGAGGTGTCCTGGTGGAGATCCAGAGCGTCCCCATGTGCTGACAATGGGGTTTTTGGGTGCCCCACGCCATGGCAAGGAGATCCATTGGGTGCCCATGTCATGGCAGTGGGGGCTGGAGGTGCCCCGTGCCACGCTGAGGAGCTCTGGGGTCCCCAGACCCCAAATGAGGCCCTGGGGGTCCCTGCCAGGCTGCCCAGGCCCGGGTACCTCCCACATCCCCCCAGCCCTGGGCCAGGCTCCAGCACCCCCAGCACCAGCAGCCCCTCACCAGCCCCCGGGGGGGTCACCCCAGCCCCGCACCCCGGCAGGAGCCCCCCGCCCCCCCCCAGCCCCGTCCCTGCACCCCATTCCTGCCCCCCCATCCCGGTCCAGCCGCGAGTCTCCATGACAACGCTCATCCTCCATCCTTCATCCCCCATCCCCGCCGCTCCGGGGCCCTGACGTCACTTCCTGGGCCCCCGCCCGCATGGGGGTCCCCAACCCCAGCCCCCCCCCCGCACCCCGCCGCCCCCAGCACCCCCCTCACCCTCCGCACCCCCCCGCCATCCCCCGTGGCCCCCGACATCCGCGCGCCGGCCGCCTCCATGTTGTCACTGTGTCCCCCGCCCTCTGTCTCCCCTTTCACGAACCCCCCACAGCCCCTGTAGATCCCCGCAGCCCCCCCGGGACCCCCCAGAACCCCCTGGAACCCTCCAGAACCCCCTGGAACCCCCTGGAACCCCGCACCGCCGCAGCCCCGCGGCCCCGCGCCCCCCCCGCTTTCCCGCATCCCCATCCTCCTCCTCCTCCTCCCCCATCCAAACCTGAATTTCCCCCCCTCAAAAAGCGACTGCAGCCACAGCAAACCCCCCCAAAGGGTGAAGGGGCGGCGGGGGGGGAGGGATGAACCCCCCACCCCTCCCCACCGCGGCCCCTCCCCGCCCCCCATCCCCTCCATCCCCACCGCCGGTGGTCGCTTCTCCCTCCCCCCTCTCCTCCTCTCCTCTCCTCTTCCCCCTCTCCTCATTTTGCGGTGCTCCCCCCCGGCCGCCCCCCACCTGCAGACGGTGATGAGGTTTTTCCTCTCCACGGCGATGTTCCTGGAGGAAGCTTTCTTGGAGGAGAGCCCCAGAGCCATGGCAGCCGGCACCCAGCTCGCTTCCATCCAGCGGCCCCGGCGCCGCGGCCACGGGCGGGCGATGCCCCTTCCCCCGTGGGGACCCCCCCGGCCCGCGGCCCCCCGCTCCGCGCAGGCTTTGCTCCGCCGGTGCCCACGCCACGGGCCGTGCGCCGCCCGCCCCCCCAAAGGGATGCTCTCCCCGCCCCCGGCCCCCCAAATCTCTCTCCGGGGGATGGGGGGGGGCGCAACACACAGGGGAGGGCCGGGGTCCCCCCGGGGGTCACCCCCTGCCCCTCCCGGCATGATGAGACATTGCCGGGGGACCCCGTGGGTAAAGACACGGGGAGGGGGCGCCCCCGGGGTTTTGGGGGGGTCTTTTGCCCACCCCAGGCTCAGATCAGCACCCCCTGCCTTGCCCTGCCTCCATCCCCGTTTTGGGGGGCTGATATCACCCCCACCCCCTCTCGGGGTCTGAACCCCCACATTCACGGGGTGGGCAGGGGGTGACTGTGCCGAGGGGCAGCCCCCCCACCCCCCTCTTTACCGTGCCTCAGTTTCCCTCCGTTGTTGTGACAGAGAAACCGGGGAGGGGCTGGTGAATCCCACAGCAGCCACACAAACCTCCACAGCCCCCAAATAAATCAGAGTCACCCTCAGCACGCAGACACCCCCGTGGGGACGTGTGCCACCTCCCTGTGCCCACCACCGGGTGCCACACGCCCGCTGTGCCCATGCCAAGGGGGGCTTGGCCAAGAGAACCCGGCTGGTGGGGACAGGTGGGCTCAGTGCGGGGAGGGACCCCCAAAATCCCCGAGGCTGTGCAGGGAGGGGAGCCCTTGGCAGTGCCCAGATAAGGCCGGGGCTGTTATCGGGACACCCAGACCCAGCACCACCCCTCTGTCCCCTGAGGGTGCCACCAGGTCCCCAGCGGGTGCAATTGAGGCTGGATGGGCCCCAGGCACAGCAGGGACAGCTCCGGTGCCACCTCACTGTGGGGGGACCCTGTGGGTGTCCCCAGGTACTGGGGCTGGGATGGGAATGTGTGTGTGTGCCCAGGTGTGTGTGTGCCCAGGTGTGTGCCCAGGTGTGTGTGTGTGCCCAGGTGTGTGCCCAGGTGTGTGCCCAGGTGTGTGTGTGTGTGTGTGCAAGGCTCACCCACCTCACCCCTGCCCTGGGATTGGGATTTTGGGCCTGAGATCCTTCTAGGAAGGCTGCAAATGTAGAGACACACACGTGTGTGTGTGTGTGTGTGTGTGTGTGTGTGTGTGTGTGTGTGTGTGTATGTGTGTGTGTGTGCACGTCCACGGGTGTGCACACACACAGGGACATGGGCCCCTCACATACACACACAGGTGTGCCCATGGGTGGGCACTAACACAGGTGTGTGTGTGTGTGTGTGTGTGTGTGTGTGCAAGGCTCACCCACCTCACCCTGGGATTGGGATTTTGGGCCTGAGATCCTTTTAGGAAGGCTGTAAATGTAGAGACACACACATGTGTGAGCACACACGTCCACAGGTGCGAGCACAGGTGTGCGCACACAGGGCCATGGCCCCCTCACACACACACACACACACACACAGAGGGACATGGGCCCCTCACACACACACACACACGTGTGTGAGCACACACGTCCACAGGTGCGAGCACAGGTGTGCGCACACACACACACACACACACAGGGCCATGGGCCCCTCACACACACACACACAGGTGTGCCCATGGGTGGGCACTAACACAGGTGCACACACCCCTGCCCTCCTCCAAAGCATCCCCCCCTCTCCAGGGCACCCCAGTCCAATGGCACAGAGGGACACCCCAATCCCATGGCACAGAGGGACACCCCAGTCCAATGGCACAGAGGGACACCCCATCCTCGTGTCCCCCCCGCGCCTCCTCCCCAGGGAACCTCCCCAGGAACCCCCTTTTTTTTCAAATTTGTTTTTTTTTTTAACGAGAACACCCCAACCCCACAGAAAGGGAGGGGGGGGACAACCGGGGGGATCCCGGGGATTCCCTGCAGGGAAACCCGGAGGTAAACAAGATTGGGGGGCCGGGGGGGGGGCAGCAGGAGCAGGTCCGGGGTGCCGGGCTGGGTGAGGGAAGGACGGGAGGACAGCGGGAGCAGGCGGGGCTCAGCCGGGGCGCAGCTTTTGCAGATGTTGCACCCCGATAACCTTGTTTTTCCGGGGGGCCCGGGGGGGGCCGGGTGAGCCCGAGGGGGGCAAGATTAGGGAGGTGAGCGTGACTCAGGCATCGGCGTCTCACAGCCCGGGCACCGCAGAGAGAGCGCGGCAGGGCCGGCGGAGGCACCCCAGGGGTAGGTGCGGGGTCACCTCGGGGTGTCCCTGGGGCTGCCAGGGGGGACACGGGGTGGGCGGGGGGATGTGGGGCTGGGGAGGGCACCCTGGGCTGCCCCAGGGGGGTGTTGGGGTGGGAGGTGCTGCGGGATGGGGGATTTAGGCTCCAATGGAGCCACCAGAGGGGTCCCGGCCGTGTGGTGTGGATGGCCTGGGATGTGCGGGCTCCGTGCTGAGCCGTGCCGGGCACCTGCGGGATGAGAGATCTCAAATGTGCTGCCAGGGATGTATGGACTCCATAGGGAGCCCCGGGGCTGACCCACGGAGGGAAGGAGCAGTCCCAGGCTGCGCGGATGGTTTGGGATGTGCTGGCTCCAGGCGGAGCCCAGCGAGGAGGCAGGAGGGATCCCGGCCATGCCTCAGGGATGGTGTGGGATGTCAGGGCTCCACGGAGCCGTGGTGGCCGCGGGGAGGATCCCTGTGACCGTGCGGGGATGGCGTGGGGTGTGCGGGCTCCGTGCTGAGCCGTGCGGGGCGTTTGGTGCAGGAGGGGTGAGCCCAGCCCTGAGCCTGGCAGGGGATGTATGGACCCCATGGGGCTGTACCCACTGAGGGGGACCCCATAGGGTGGTACCCACTGAGGGGGACCCTATGGGGCTGTGAAGGGACCCCATAGCATTGTACCCACTGAGGGGGGACCCCACGGGGCTGTACCCACTAAGAGGGACCCCAGCCGCGCCCTGGCTGCCGGGGGATGTACAGACCCCGCTGGCTGTCGGTGCGGGGGCTGTGGGCTCCGTCCCGCACACACCGTGTGGGACAGGAGCCCCGCACCGAGCTCCATCCTGCCGTGCCCGGGGCTGCAGCGTGGGCTCCGTGCGGGGCTCTGCGGGGATGCGTTCGGCGGCTCCCGGTGACCTCGCTGCCCGGTGCCGCAGCGCCCCGCGGCTCCCGGCCCCGCAGCCCGGCCCGGGGCGCTGTGGGGCAGAGCGGGGGGCAGCGGGTGGAGCGGGGCAGGGGCCGACGCCCGCTGTCGGGCGTTATCAGTGGGGCACAGCCCGGCGCACCAGGCTGATGCAAGAGCCGCCGGGGGGGCCCGGGACGGGCCGGGCTGGGGGGCCGGGGGCCGCCGGTCCCGGGGCCAGGCGGGGCAGGAAGGAGACGGCCGAGTCAGAGGCTCGCCGTCCATCCCGTGGCCCCGCCGCGGCTCCCGCGCCCCGCCGGGGATCCCGCGTGGCCCCAGCGGGGATCCCGCGGCCCCCGCGGGGTGTCCGGGACCCCAGCCCGGCTCCCGCCACCCCCGGCCGGGAGCGAGCTCCTGCATCACCCTGGTGAGATCGGGGGGGGCTGGTACCCCCAAAGCCGCCCATTGCCCTGACCTTGCCCCCGAGCCCCCCCAGCGGGGTCGCCGGGCCGGGGTGGCGGGGGGCAGCCGGAGCCCCTCGGCCCCCCAGGCTGGGGGGGGGTCCCCACGGGGCGGCTCGAACTGCGGCTTTGGGGGTCCCGGACCCCTCCTCAGAGACTCGGGGCGGGGTCGGGCGGGGGTCAGAGGTGAGGGGGTTCCGGGGGGGGGGGGTCCGGACCCCCCCGGGTCCCTCCGGGGCTGCCCCGGGGGGGGGGGGCGGGGGGGCGCAGTGCGGGCAGGGCGCCCCCTGGCGGTTGTCCCGGGGAGCAGCCCCGGGGCAGCTGCGGGGCGGAGGGGGGGGCAGAGGACACGCAGGGGACAAGGGGGACACAGGGGACACCGGGGTCACAGGGGACACAGCGGGTGCGGGCACTGAGTGCTGCAGGGGATCTGGGGGCTGATGGAAAGGGGGCAGAGGGGCCTCCCCAGCCGTGCACCCGCGGGGGTTTGGGGTGCTCAGCCCGTCCGGGTTTTCTGGGGTGTCCTGTGAGCCCAGCTGTGCCTCAGTTTCCCCCCTTTTCTCCCTCTCCGCTCTGCCAGGGGCTGGGGCTGTGTGCTGGGAGATCAAGGCACTGCATGTGAGACCCCAGCCCTTGTGTGTGGGACTATATGGGATCCTCATACAGGTGCAAGGGGCTGCAGGGGGTTGTGTAGGACCCTGGACATGTGCGTGGGTCTATATAGGACCCCCACCCACACACGAGAGGGTCGTGTGGGACCGCAGCCCCTGAGCGTGGGTCCATACAGGGCCCAGCCCCGGCTGTGGGTCCGTGCAGGGGCTGACCCCGAGCGCAGGGCACGGTGTGCGTGGGCACGGGTGGCTCAGGGCAGCATGCCACGTCCCTGGTGGGAAGCTCTGCCGTGCCCTGACGTCCGTTCCCATCCCGTTTGGCGACAGGGCAGGGCATGACCTCCCTGGGGACCCCCAAGCCCGGGCCCTCCCAGCCCGTGGGGAGCGGGTTAGGCAGGCGGGGGCTGCGGGAACGGCCACGGCGTCCAGCCCCAGCCCTTGGGACAAACGCCATCCCGGGGGCACCGAGCGATGCCCAGCCCTTGGGACAATCCCAGGGGCACCGAGTGATGCCCTGCTCTCTGCTAACTTGTTCTCTCTCGTTTCCCCCGTGCCCGCCCCGCAGAGCGCCGGGTTATGGTGGCACCGGGCTGAGCGCCGGGACGCGCCGAGGCGGCAGCGGGGGCCGAGCCCGGAGCCATGGAGGGGCCTGGCCAGGTAGGGACACCCGGCCCCCGCCCCGGCTCCGCCGCTGCGCCCCGGCACGGCCCCGGCCAGGCCTCGGGGGTGCCCGACCCTGCTGACCCCCTTGTCTGTGTCCCACAGGAGGCCTACGAGGAGGGGATGAGGAGGAGCCTGGACCCCGAAGGCTACGAGGACCCCGGCCTAAAGAGCTCCCACCTGTCGCTGGGCGAGATGAGCAGTGAGTGGCTGCTGGGGCGCCGGGGGCACTGGCAGCGTGGGCACCACAGGGGTGGCATTGCATGGGCACCAGCGTCACAGGGGTGCCAGCACTGCAGGGTGTGGCTGAGCACGGGTACCGGTGTGGCAGAGGTGACAGCGCTGCATGTGTGACAATGGCATAACACAGGTGACAGCTTTGCAGGGGTGATGGCACCACAGGGGCACTGGCACCAGCTGGGTGCCAGCGTTGCAGGGCCACGAGTGGCTCAAGGTCAGGCGTTGCATGGGCAGAGTTTTGTGGGTGCAGCTGTGCAGGGACACCAGCATGGCTCAGGGGCATTGCAGGGGCACCAGCAGTGCATGGACATGGCTGTTTCATGGCTGCCAGCTTCTCGTGGGCACACATGGCACATTGGCACGGCATTGCATGGGTGCCAGCAATGCATGGACACAGGTGTTTCATGGCTGCCAGCTTCTCGTGGGCACGCATGGCACATTGGCACGGCATTGCTTAGGTGCCAGCATGGTGCAGGCACGTTGCATGCGTTGCACAGATGAGTTGCATGGGCACAGAGGACGCGTTTCCCGGGTGCCAGCGTGGCAGTGGCAGCGGGGCCAGGCAGGGACACCCCCCCTCAGGGCAGCGAGTCCCTCCCGTGAGGTGCCACCTCCAGCTGCGGGTGCCCGGAGTGGGGCTGAGCCTGGGGACACCCGAGGTCCCTGAGCCCCCCGGGAGGGAGGTGAGGGGAGTGTGGGGGTCTGCGTGCCGCGCAGCATCCCCCTGCCCCAGGCACGGCTGTTTCCGAGCTGCCACCCTGAGGGGGTGTTTGTCAGCGCTGGGGTGACACAGATGGGGTAACGCTGCCCCCTGTTCTGCGCAGGGGCCGGCGCTGGCATCGGGTCCCCCCTGCAGGCGTGGAGGGCCAGGGCCGAGGAGATGAATCCCCT